AATGGGCTCACAAGAAAAAATGAGCCCAATGGCTTAGATTGAATCTGGGCTGATCTAACGATCACAAATGCCCAATAATGTTTGAATTTTATTTATTTTTCTATAAATTCAAATTACTTAAAATTTTAGACTTGTGTTGATAAAAAATAAGTGAATATTCAAAAAATATTTTAAAAAATATTTTACATAAAAAAAATGACCAAAATTTTTGGGGATATTTTAGTCATTTTTAATTTTTCGGATTATTTTTTTTATATTTTTATTAGGTGCGGCTTGATAAGAATAATATTCACCTAAAATTTTAAGTTATTTGTATTTGTAAAAAAATAAAAAAATTCAAATACTTTCGGCAGCCAGATCAACCCAGATTCAATATAAGCCATTGGGCTAATACTATTCTGTGAGCTAGTGGGCTCATCCTAGTATCTTCCTATATATATATACAGGAAAACTCTTCCCAACGCCTATAGGGGAAAATAAACAGTGATTTCGTCTACTCTCATCACCATCAAAACTTCATCGTACGGTCACGATTGTCTGATAGTATTCTATTTTTCAGTTGTTTTTTACGGATCAGATTGACTTGAAATTTAAAATGTATGCACATCTTAGTGAGGTGCACCTAATAAAAATATAAAAATAATAATTTGTAAAAAAATTTGACTAAAATACCCCTCGAAACTTTTTGGGGTATTTTGGTCAATTTTTCATGTAAAATATTTTTTTGATATTTTTCATATATTCACCTATTTTTAATGAACAAAAAATCCAAATTTCAGGTCATTCTGATTTGTTAAAAAAAATGAAACACTATCAGACAATTGTGACCGTACAATGAACTTTGGACGGTGATGAAGGTAGGTAGAATTAAAATTCATTTTTGCCTATATACATTTTGTAGTGTCTTCCATATTTATATATAAAGAGAGAGAGATAGAGTTGTGTGCCCTAGTTGCATCACCTTACGAGAAATGTCGCCTTCCTCTAAAGATAGAGGTAGCGGCTTCCTGGAAAGGGAAGAATGACCACTAGAGAGCATAGAGTTTCCGGAGAGAAACATATTGTGTGGTGCCTCTTGTGGAATGAGAGGTTGGTATTTAATTGAAAACTAGTTATGTAGAGATTTTGGTTGGCATTCTCATTATTCTCAAGGTTTTTTGGACAATGATTAACTGTGGAATAAAGGTAGGCGATCGACATTGGGATGTCCATTTGAAAATCCGGTTTAAAATAGTTCCTCTATTTTGGCTTTGTTGAGGGTTAGAGATGTAATTATGTCTCTCAAATCTATGATGTAATTCTTCTTACTAAAATAGATTTTAGGAAAAATTACATACATGTCCGTTATACTTTACGTTATTACGGATGTACCAAATAGTTTCAGTTATTATATGTATGTTCATTTTTATCTTTTATAAAACATTTTTTTTAAAAATATGACTTTATCCTTTTTCGGATATTGAATATCCGAAAATAGGCCGAAAGTTTAACATTCACATTCCCATTTTCGGGTGTTGAACATCCGAATTGAAGGGTTTTTCAGATGTTCAACATCCGAAAATAGCCCGAAAGTTAAACGTTCACATTCTCATTTTCGGTTGTTGAACAGTCACATTGCGCAGCCACATTTTCAGATGTTGAACATCCGAAAATGGTTTCAATATTGGACATCCAAAAATGTCATATTTTCGGATGTTCATCATCCGAAAATGATTGTGAAATTCCAAAGACCTTCTGGAATTTCAAAGTCATATTTTCGGATGTTGAACATCCGAAAATGTGATATTCTCGGATGTCCAACATCCGAAACCATTTTCGGATGTTCAACATCTGAAAATGTCATATTTTCGGATTTTCAATGCTCGAAAATGGGAATATGAACGTTAAACTTTCGGCCTATTTTCGGATGTTGAACATCCGAAAAAGGTGAACTCATTTTTTTTTTTAAATTGTGTTATAAAAAGTAAAAAATGGACATACATGTGATAACGGAAGCTATTTGATACGTTCGTAATAATGCAAAGTATAACGGATATATATGTAATTTTTCCTATATTTTAATTTGTCATGATGTAATTCCTCTATGTAAGCAACATAAATTTTTGTATTCTTCTTATATGTCTAGTTTTATATTTTACTTCTCATACTCAAATTATATATTTTGTTTAATGTGTGTTGCATAATCCAGACATAAAAAGTCCCCATTTCTATGTATCTATGTATAAGAGGGTTCTTGACAATAGGACTAGGGTAGTGGTGGTAGTACTACCATATCTCAATTGAATGTCACAGCTTCCATTCTCATTAACACATTAAAAAAAATTGACTATTTCAAAAATAGGTAGTGGCATACAATCCCCAGTGATCTACCAAGAAGCGCAAGGGCCAACAATATATAGTTGTTCTCTTGTTTTGTTTGCATAGTATTATATGCCATTACGACATAGCCATTGTTGCTCAAAAAGGTTTGTCAAGTTTGGAAGTCGACACAGATAAAGCAATGTCCCTTAGATACGCCATTCCTTACTTGTACGCTCCATGATTTATAGTTTTATTATCGATATGCCCTCTCATGGTGTCAATTTTTTGTTTCTCATGGAAATTATAAAGGAGTTTATTAGAAAATTTCTGAATTATTGTGTTTATTTTGTAGTTTTTCATATTACAAATAAAACTATAAGATTATTTTGGCAAATGCAAGCCATAGCGGCATCTTTTTACTTTCACACGCGCTGTTTGGACATGGGCGGTAATAGTGGGAATCAAGTTCGGATATTGGTGGTTAGGGAGCTTGATGTTTCAACATAACATCCTACGCTCCATTTCCACCGTTATCGATTCAAAATATAATAATAATAATAATAATAATAAAAAAAATGGGTAGTGTTAGCATATGGCCCACCTGCAAGACATCATCATTCGGCTGCACACAAAAATGCAAATCAATTTTTTTAAAATAACATACCATTTGAAACTGCAAAAATGCAAGTTAATTAATATTGCAAAATAGTGGAGCTCTTAAAATGGTGGATATCTGATGGATCTAGCCTTTGCTGAAAGCCTAAAATCTGGATTGAGTTTTGAGATGGCAGTTAAGATGAATATTTAGAGGAAAGCTTTACATTTGACCTATGCTCTCAACGATCTAACCTAAGTAGATGGTTGGGATGGCTTGGGACACAATGTCACAAGTTCGCTCTTAAACACCAGATCTTGTTCCGACAGCTCAAAGTGTTTTATTATTAATCGTTATTTTATTTATATATATATATAAAGATGGGATTAGTCCACTATCTCATATGAACATATGAGCTTAACGTCCCAGATTGAATCTAGGCTGATTTGACGATCACGGATATCCGGTAGTATTTGAATTTTAATTTTTTATCTACAAATCCAAATTACTTAAAAGTTTAGGCGCGTGTTCATAAAAGATAGGTGAATCTTCAAAAAATATAAAAAAAATATTTTACATGAAATAAATTGACCAAAATACCCCCAAAAAGATTCAGAGGATATTTTGATCATCTTATTTTTCACGGATAATTTGTTTTTATATTTTTATTAGGTGAGCCTTGATGATAAAAACACACATCTAAAATTTCAATTGATTTGAATTTGCATAAAATAAAATAAAATTCAAGCACTACCAAACATCCGTGATCGTCAGATCGCCCAGATTGATTGAATATGGGCCGTTGGGCTCATATGTTCGTATGAGCTAGTGGGCTAATCCCATCTTTTCCATATATATATATATGTATATATATATGTATATATATATATATATATGGGTGCGACTTGTATAGAGCCTAAGCTCTAAATAATCAAATTAGAGCCTACCTTCAAATAGTATCGAAAAATGTAGTTTCAATATTGGAAATATTTGTGATAGCCTTAAAATATATTTTTATATTTATTTATACAGTTTAAAGCTTTAAAAATAGTGTAGAACGATAGATCTATGAAAACTTGAAAACTTTGAAAATTGACGGTCCAAAAATGTGTCACAAAATACACAATTTTCAAAACTTGAATCT